TGGTTATTAACGATATTGCACGCAGCAAACAGAGCAGCTGTATTCCTTAGGAATGCTCTAAGGAGGGCGAGTCAATAACTTTTATGAAATATTAGCACGTAAAAAGTGACGTATAAGTATTAAAAGCACTTCCGGAATGAGAAATTCATAACAAAAGTACGATACTTTTATTCAAATGCACACACGTTTGAAAAAATAAAATAGGTTTACAAATTCTAGCAAAGCCTATCTAAAACTTAGCTTGGGAATGACCTGAAATTATCAGACACGTCTATGATACGTGTACTTTAGTTAAAACCACTACTAACTGAAAGAACTACACAAGTACTCAATGACAAACCTGATAAGAAAAACCGAAGACAAGAAAAAGTAAGTCACTTAACAAATGCTTCGAGCAAATGTACATCGTGTTGTTTATTCCCGTTTTTTTTATTATTATTATTTATTTTTTATTCTTATTACTTTTGTTTTGTTTTTTGTTTTGTTTTTTTTCATTTCAGCTTTTTACTTTAAACCAGAGCGCCAAAGCGGCAAAGCATTACCTCAATGCCGCCTTACATATGACAACAACTTTGAAATAATTTACAACAATAACAAAAGCATCGTTTTCTTTTATCGTTGGAGAACATGTCGCGAAGTTTGGCAAGAACAATATCAGTAATTCCAGTATATTAGTGTGCAGTGCAGACCTGACATAATGCAAATGATTTCTGTCGAGTAATTTGAGAAATATTTCGCAGATAGCATTTCAGTTACCAATCAATAACGTCATAGAAAACTTTCGTGCCAGTTTTGGGGCTGTATTTTCGGCTATTTTTTTTTCTTGCCAGTTGGAAATGCCAAAATATAGTTTCAGTTGGTCACAGCACTTATAATGAAGCCTACTTAAAGAGAGGGTGAAGTATAAGAGATTTGATCCCTCATATAGGCCTAATTCCTGAGGAAATCCCTCTTAAAATATTTTGATCACTCCCAAAGGAGGGTTTAGAAATAGTTGTCGAAATTAAGTCTCTAGGTCTGGGCAAGCTGAGCGGGTCTGCAGCGCGTTATCGCAGAAGGGCTGGTGAATCTCCTCCCAGCTCTGTCAGGCTCCACTCGCCAATACTTATTTCTGTTTCCAAAGGAAATTAAATCATCGCACATCTTAATTATAAGGGAAAAAACAGCTCAAGCATTTTTTTGGCAAAAACGATATGAAAATACACTCGATTTCCACCTGTCCGATCTTCTTTAATTAACTGTGGCTGGTGATCGAGCGTGGTATAAAAATAACGTTATTTGCATACAGAGCAGTAGTTAACAATGATTGAATTAAGGATCATTGAATTAGATGACTGATTGAAGTTTTGATATCAAACGATGCTGCTCTCATTGGTTGAAAATAAGAGATCATTTACTGAACTCTCAGAGATTTCCTGATACTGGACTATGCATAAGAGTGGCGACTTAATATGATGCGCAAGCAACCTGGCGAAAAATAAGGAGATCTGCATGAGCAATTTTTTGAAATTTGAAGCTTTTAAAACGCTAATATAAAGAGAACTAAGTCAAATTAAAACCAGTGGAGAAAACGCCAATTTAGTTTTGTGCCATTATTTTATAATTCATGTGGAGATTATCGGCTGATCATTTCAGTTCTAATATTATGCACGCTTTGAAAACAATCTTCAAACTTATAAGGTTTTCCTCGCCACCTTGCTGAGCTACTGATGATATTATGAGATATGATCCTTTTAACAGAGAAAAAGGTCACAGCCCTGGAGAAAATTAGGCTGTGACAACAACAATCAGGTTGATTTTCAGATTTTGTAGAAATCGCAGTTCAAAAGCAGGAAAACGGTGTGTGAAAATGTTGTATGTTTATACTAAACTCCTTGCCGGAAAACAGACACGCCCATGATGCAAATATTTCTTACATCATTGTTGATCTGTCCGCGAGCGATTTGTATCATCGAATTTGTAGTGCTGTTACAAAGCTGAGCTAGTTAGATGATTCTCAACTAACCAATTCTTTTTAGAAATATTCTAAGTCTGTTTATACTTAAGAATATTGTTTTATATACAGTGGAACTGATATTGAAAAACAAACCGTTCGGCGGCCAAGGGCTTCTTAGATCTTTTGAGCGCAAATTGGCGGTCATACGGCAGTCGTATAAACCTAACTCTATGAATTAGTTTCCTGGTTTCCTCTATCACTGACTGCAACGCGAATCAGTTCCTGTTGTGAACCAGGTGGAAAAATATTCGCTTACGGAAGGGACATTACTGGAGAAGACTTCTGACGCCTCGAGGCAAAAGAAAATATACCCACTTGTCAGAACCGTGCGAAGTTTTGATCAATTTTTGACTGACGCACAAAAATCCATTTTAAGTTCGATTTCCAGCGCCCTACAGGCATCCGAATTTAGCTTGAACTGAACTAAAATTTAGTCGCTAATTGTTGTCCTTTACCTATGGAAAATGCTCGCATGCACCATTGTAGGTTTATGTACGTTTTCTCCCCGAGTAATATGATTAGAAATTTGCTGCACAAGTTTATTAATACCGAATGAAAATCCAAACACAATCAACTCTGTGTAGTCCTTGAACCATAGAGTGGGTTACGTTAGTTATATACGGTGTGTTTGCAATACATACAGTGTCTTTAGAATATACTTAGTGTAGTACTTTTGCCTGGGAAGTGTGTCATATTGACTATATTGATGTGACCTGCGCACCATGTAATATTTAATAAAAAAGGAAACTTAAGATGGCTAGTGAAAATTAAACGGTTACCACAATGATCAAACCCTTGCATTTTGGGGCAAAAATCTGAGGGTAACCTTGGGGACAGTTGTTACTTTCATTTGTAAGTGCGCAACAATTCTGGCAAGTAAGAAACCTAACAAGAAAGTGCCGTGTCGTAAAAATTTGATTTTTGGCTGTATAAAATCGATTTTTTGCTTTCACCTAACTTACCTTTCCCCCGTATGTGAAGCGTTTCGCGAAATGCTCCCTTTCCGAAGAGAAGGTAAGCGTAGTTTAGGCATGCTTGAGGGATGTGGTGAGATTCCATGTCAAGCATGGATATCAAAGGAACTGCAGATAAGAAAAAACATTTGAAAACATACATTGTCTTGTGATACTCATTTGTAAATCAGTTGTTAGCCTGGAATAAAAATAAACACTGAAACATTACTGGGAAAATCATGTTATGATGTGATTATTACAAAAACACAGAGTCAAATTATTAATTTTCATACAGGAGTAGCTACCACAATATCATGATAATAATACATGGGGAAAAATTGTTATATTACCTTTTCGGTGTATTACTGAGTATGCCCTGTGTGCATAATATATTTCAACAGAAGATTTCCCTCTCTAAAGTTCAGTCTTAGTTCAGTTTGTTTATACATATTCTAGACTAGTTTACCTTTGTTTCATTCGAGTGTCCTTTTGTCCTGTCAGTGAAATGTGATTTGTTAATTCTTCAATAGCTTGAAATTGGGTGAAGCCGTAACGTAATGTAGGCAAATGAAGGCAAAAGGAAAAAAAATACCGGATGCAAAGCACGTAGTTCTTATTTAACCATCACCAGATTGAGAATGGAATATGCCTTGTCGCAAGAAGACGATTAGTGAAAGTAACCCGTGCAGTGGATAACCTTGTTGAGTTACATAACCGTCAGGTATTAACTCCAAATAACTGCTTCGGGAGATAAGTTCGGGAGTCCCAGAACTGATATTGAATGATAATGAGCAGTGAGTGCAAATTTGCATATTCTCTTGTACATGAAACAGAATTTTTGATCAAACATTACCCCATTATCGCATAGGTTGCCTTGGTCGCCTGACAACCGCAGAAAAATGGGAGTCAGCGAGCAGGTGAACAAATAGCTGCGTCACAAAACATTCAATAACGGTGTAGAGAGCAGATTTAGAAATCTTAGCATCTCAGGACAATTTATTCTTTTTTCCTCTGCAATAAGCTTTGTGCTTGAATTGTATTCTCCGATCCCATCGACACACTTACGTAACAGAGGTGCCAAGTGTAGTTAGTTTCTGACGATAATGTGTGGGAGCTTTTACGTATGCATCCACACAAAAGATGAAGTAGACGTGGAACACGGCTAATCATGTCTAATGAAATCGCCGTGATTCAGCAGATACCTTGAACAACAGCTTTTATTGAGTACAGAGAAGATTCATACGTAATTTACAGGTCAAAAGCTATATCTACCTCGTTCGTTTTATAACAGAGTACCTTAAAAAAAGTAGATAAAACTAAAAATAGGTCATTTATTTACAATTGATCTAATTTTTTCCTTGAGTCTCTCAATATACATAAATACTTATCACAAAGTCTAAAGATAAATTTTACAGTAGGCTGGAGAGATGGTTAGCTAGCGGGGAGGGGGTCGGGGGCGGTCGTCTCTGTTTATTAGGTGGTTGAAGACTCACTTCGTACTTCGCTACTAACTATTATAGTACCTCTTTGCTACAATGAAATAGGACTTACAGTTCTTTCATATTGAGAAATAGCAAAAAAATAAATAAAGTTTCAGGGAGCGAGTTAAAAACGTATTTTTTTTTTCCCTCTGTGATAACTCAGAGAATTTTGTTTAAAAAAACAGCGATTTTGAGATGAAGTTCGGGAATAGACGTTTTTAATAATCCCGAACATTTTTGAAAAAAGAAAAGAAATAGGGACGATAAAAAAATCAGCAACAAACAAAAAATCTCGCAGGAATTTCTCGGGGAGGATTCACTCTGGCCCGAAGCCAGATTGAGAGTATTCACTTGTTCGTTCTTCCATTGTATCCGTTGCCCGCCACTTTTACCGCTCGGCCACCCTGACATCCCTTGGAAATATTAGTTTAAATAGTCGGTATGGATAGTTATTGAAGTTTGAAGGTCCGACTGACAGTATGTGCATTGTCAGACAAGTTAAAATGTTAAAATTTGTGACACTGAAAAAGAAACTTCTAAGTTTCAAGGAAGTGATCGTACAAAAAATGCTTGTTTTTTCATTCAGAGAATTGATCGAGAAAAACAGCCGGCTCTGAGATGACATTTGGGGATAGAAGGTTCTAAAAATACCGATGAAATAGAGATTAAGAAGATAAATCAAAGTGCTCTATGAGCAAACCCAGACTTCATAACCACAGTTGCCAACGCTGTAAGACGATGTTGACAGATATAAGCGGATATAAGCCAACCTTTTCGTGACCCTTTCAAAGTCTCCTTCGCAGGATCTGCGTCACCGTTGCGTGATGTAAGGTGAGCCACGTGGCTCATCAGGCCGGAGCTTATCCCGGTTTCAGTAGCATGAAGCGATTTGGAGTATTTCTACTCCCCCTGGATGGGATGCTAGTCCATCGCAGGGTTACCCCCAGCACTAAATTCGCCGGTACCCATTTATACACCTGGGTGGAGAGAGGCATTGTGAGAGTTAAGTGTCGTGCCCAAGAACACAACACAAGAATGTCCCCGGCCAGGGCTTGAACCCGGACCGCTCGCTCCGGAGTCAAGCGCACTAACCATGAGGCCACCGCGCCTCTACTCCTCCACTCCTCCACTCCACCGCGTGACGTACGCCTGAACAACAGCGTCTTGTCAATAGCTAAAATAGATTACATCACCAGAGACTCCTCGCCCCTAGACTGTTCACACCCTCTTTATTTACGCACGCGAAGGAAAAAGCGAGCGAAGCGAGCGCGAAGCTACCCAGTCAAGTCTTCCGTTTTGCGCTGGCGTTCAGTTCTCTCGCGATTCTATCCGCGAGTACGATCAAATAAAAATACGAGAAAATAGAGGGCCGTGAACATTCTACCCCGCCCCCTGCATGACTCAAACAGGAATTACAGTCCGCGGTAAAACGTTTTGTAGGAGCGCGTTGTATTCTAAACCAGAACATCAGGCGAAAAAGGAAAGACGGATGACCTACAATAGATTTGTGATAAGCTTAAATAATGTTAGAAATTACTGCTGCTTCACGTAATGTGAAACGGATTCAAGGTATGTAGAAAAGAGCCTACTGTCACAGGATCTCTGTTTTCGTTTTTAATGAATTTTTAACTTGTCAGAAAGGAAATAAAAGTATTGTGTAGCCGATTAGGGCTTAAGGTTTCCCAATTAGCCCCGGGTGGATTTTTTTAAATTACTTTTTTTCTGTTCTTGGCTTTGACTTACTTCTACCTACTTGGGTAATATTAAATTTAAACTTCTACCAATTGATTGTAAAAAACACTTCAATGACCAATGCAAGTGTTTCATCAAGTCGCAACATGCCAGAGGCTACATGTACGCCAGTGCAGTATTTCTTTCGCATTTGAGATCAGTCTGGTTGGCTATCTCTATACAACAGTGTTTGAACTCGACCAGGGTTTTCACATCTTATCTAGAACAGTATCATTTAGCTTCAGTTCTTACGTAGTACCTATTAAGGCTGGTTTTCACTAGAACATAAGCACAAGCACAAGCATAAGCATAAGCACAAGTGCAAACAGCCGCGACATAAAAATAAGCATAAGCAGAAACATAAGAACGAACCCACTTATTTGTCTTGTGCAGTTTTCACTAGCAACGCGCTCGACATAAGCATAAGCATAAGCACAAGAAAAACGAACAGTTCCGTTTTTCTTGTGCTTATGCTTATGCTTATGTCGAGCGCGTTACTAGTGAAAACTGCACAAGACAAATAAGTGGGTTCGTTTTTCTTATGTTTCTGCTTATGCTTATGTTTATGTCGCGGCTGTTTTCACTTGTGCTTATGCTTATGCTTGTGCTTGTGCTTATGCTCTAGTGAAAACCAGCCTTTATTTAGCTCCACTTGATGAAATTTATCATGTCATGTCACTTGACTTGACAATGACGTTCCGTCAAGGTGGAGACGTCGTCGATTTCCCAATTTTAAAACAGTTGTCAATGATCTTAGGCAACATTTCATCGCAGATCATTTAAAACAAAGGAAAACTTGGCACCATTTTCTGGCTCTTTTATTAGACTGCAGACATTCAACTTTATTTCACGTAAAAGTACAAAGAAAACAGCGTCACTTGTTATTGCGATAAACTTAATGGATAATTTTTGTTCGTGACTTCACTAGCAGAGGAACATTCCAGCCTTTAAAGGCCTCATTTGAAGGGGGGGGGGGGGACGGGGTCGAAGTATCCCACATTCCGTTAATTTTTGGCCTAAATATCCTGTATCCCGTGAATTTCAATTACAGAATTAATGGTTTTCCTGCTGTATATCCCATCTATCTGATCTGAATGTCCCACATCCCATTCATTTTCCCTCCGAACATTCTGTATTCCGTTAATTTTCACCTAAATGTCCCGTATCGTGAAAACCTCTGATAGGGGATCATTCCTTGTGACCCTAAAGTCGGCAATTTTACTTGTTGCCAGCAAGCTTAAGGAACTGGCAGAACATTTTTTGGGGGTCAAAACTGTTTTGATGAACGGTAACGTCCGTCACGTGTGGGATGCGTTCAGTTGTAAAGCCTCTTTTAATTTTATTGGTAGACCCTTGTAGTTCTAACAAGCCAACGCAAAGGCAAATGCAGTCTGTGTAAGAGCAAATGTGAGGAAGAACTTGAACTTTTTAACTAAAATGCAAGCACAACTGCAATTTTGCAAAGAAATAGGAATATTTTCCATTGTTTGCGCTTGAATTTTTACTATGCTTCATCCGCAATGTCCCCCCGCCACTCCCCCCTGGGTATATGACGCTTTGAATTTTCAGTCGGTCAAATTCCCATCCTCTGCGAGTAATTTTCACGAGGCAAAATTTTATATTTACCTTCATACACAGCAAACAGCTTTAGAAGGCTTTTTATTTCAATCCACAACATATAGAAAGAGTGTTGTCTCTTGATACAATCTAGCTTCACCATGATCTTAATGGAAACAGGAATATAGAATTTGCACTTTCTAAATTTATTATTACTTAACATTACAATAATACTATATCATATACTTGGCTGGCTTGTTCCAAACCCAATAAAGTTAACCCAGGATTAGCTACGATTTTTATTTCAGTTTCTGTTTCTGTTATTTCAGTTTCTATTTATATTGTTTGTCCTTCAGTTTTGAGTTTGACTAATCTCGAACTACACAAAACATAAGCAGTGAA